GGAGGCAGCGAGCCAGTCCACGAGAAAACGTCTGAGCTTCAACTGAGGCGAGGACAAAGTGAAAGGTGGCGATCTCCTTTCCTTTTCATGAAGAACGTCCTGGATTTCTAGTGCGATTTGCGACTTCTACCACTCATTTTCCACAATCATCCTTTCGGAAATGCTTCAAAGAAGGCTGTAAGGGAAACTTGATCCTTATAATTTACGTTAAAGGCTCTATTAAAACCCCGAACATTTCGTCAAAAACGCGAGAGCAAGCTTCGAGTTCGAGCTTGATGGACAGTGATGCAACGCGCGAGATTTGACTTTCCCGGGAAATGTTCAAATACCAAATTTGGAAGAAAAGGCGCCCAAGAAGTACTGGTGACGAAAAGCTCCAAATTAGGAGCGACCCAGAATGCACTGGGTATATAAACATGTTCGACAGCGAGGAAGGTGCATTCTATCACTTTCGGGCCTCACTTTTGTCGTCTGTTTGTTAGCGCCTCACAGGAAAAAAAATGAATAACATTGTCCGTATCCAGCCAATGCAGTATATTCACCTCTTAGATCTGGTAGGTACATTCATAAGTAAATTTAGCTTTTGAGTCGGGTGCACGATAACTTGAAAGTGAGCTCTGCAAATCTGTCTTGATCGTTGACAGCAGTTTTCGAAGGGGTTTCAGCTGATGTGCAGTTTTAAAAAATAATTTCATCCAGTCATTTTTTAAGTCTTAGGTGCTCAGCATGTTGACCCGGTTCTTGCAGCAACAGAACAGTGACAAATAATACGGCTGTATTTGGAACCGTGCGCGTTTGTTTTCAGAAGTTGTGATTTGTTTTCTTGGGCGATTAGAGTTGTTCGTCTTTGTCCCGAAAATAAATGGGCGATCAGAGCTCAGAATAATCACAATGCAGAAACTGAACGTGAAATTTCACCAGTAATATTTTCCCCTGAATCTTGGAATTGTTTGTTCCTGTCTTGCATATGAAAGACCATGAAAACTGCTCGATCGGGAAAGTGAAAGGGACTTATGGTGACGTCAGTGGAGTTGTACGTCAGAGCCAAGAGTGTCAGTTGTCAGGCAGGCATTGTTTAAAAAATCAGGGGAAAATATCGAGCTTGTCGCATGAACAACTACAAAGTCGTTCAGAGAG